AGCGTTCATTCATAAACTCGATATAGTACTTGGAGACTCGAATGGCACAAACACGAGAGAGCGATCTAGCAAAGCGATGAGCTCGCTTACGTATTTATTTGTATACGCACATCGTACATGACACATATAAACAAACGCACACGTGTACTCTCGCATTTACGTATTATACTCGTATGTAGTAATACTGGATATACGTCACTTATCCGAGCACTCTGATTACGGTTATCTTGTAATACCTACGTTAATGGCATCGCGGCACGATAATCGACTACTATCATTAGTGAACACATAAATTCTTATCTAAATTTAGACGAGGCGAGAATTTAGCGTTTTGCGTTCCTATGAACAAAATCTTTAATCGAGATTTACTCATCAGACGTATACACATCCATCGTCAGGTGGCGACAACGCTAGCGTAAAGAATGATCGCAAAGATTCGAGTTAGTTAATACGCAAAGTTGTTATACTCGTGCGTTGTTTATCGTAGTAGACGCCGCGAGGAGGAGGAGGAGGAGGAGGAGGAGTCGAGTCTGGTAGGGATGTAATCCCGGTTCTTAACCTCCTCTTTGGCTGTGACCCAAATAAAGAATGCAAGAGATCGTGACAACTCGTTTGAACGATTATCGCGTAACGCGCGTAACGCGCGTAACTTGCACGCTCCGGGATCGAGCTTATGGAATGAAAGGTAACACGCAAGCAAGCCAACTTCCAGGAAGGAACTTTTTTCTAACTAACTTTTCCCTTCCGATCGTTTCTTCTCCGTTGGTTCAATCGTTAATCTCTCAGCGACGAGCAAGGGAGACTTTTCTTTTGCCGATCTGCTCCGACCGATCAGCTCCGACCGATCAGGATATCCTTTCAAGCCAAAGCAGAAAATTATTCGAAGAAACGGCGCGAGTTAGATAGCAAGAAGCGCCATTAAATTGGACTTACGTAAAGGGTACGCTCAATTGGACGTGATTCAAGATCGATTTCCACGCTTCTACTAGTTCCAAGACGATGCACTCGATGATGCTTTCCTTGGCTTTAACGAATTACGATTTAACTTTTCCATGACGTTCTATTCTTTAAGATCACTCTTAAATGCCGAACAATTTTCTCTTTCATTGCCTTCCAAATCTTATAACTACATTATTCGTATTCGATTATACGAAAGAAAATTTGGCACTTGGCGCAAAACGTTCATTAATCAAAGCCAATATTGATTATTCGAAAGTAAGCAAGACGTTTAACTTTGTCATATCAATGTATATACAAATTAATGACTCGTTTTGCTAAAATATTTCACGAGTTAATCAAAATTTGTCATCGCTCAGATCAGACAAATATATTCATCGTAAAATATTATTCTATCACCGCGTTTGATTCGTTCTTATTAAATAAAATAAACGACAATGTGAGAAATGAGAAGAAAATGATAAACCTATGGAGGGAGTGCGTGTGTACTGAATTTTTCTTACCCATATAAAATAACTATTATTTTATACACACATTTATATTGCCAAGCGTATACTCTTTATAGGAAGTGTGTTATATAATCAAATATCAAGGTTGTATGCTAGCGATTGGAACGATTAGGAAAATAAGAAAACTCGAGGATGAAAAATCGTTCGAGCGAAGACGAGAAGTTTTTATTTACGACGGATCCTTTTTATTATCTTCATCGATAGTTGCTCCATCCAACTCGATATCTCGATCAAACAATTATTTCAAACCTTTTTCTTTTTTTTTTGTTTCTCTATTTTTTCCTTTCTTTTCTTTCTATTAAAAATTCAAAAGTCATCTACGCGATGAGTAGTCATCGTTGTTGTCGTTCGTTCATGACTATTTATTCGTTCGCGGCCTTTGAGTATGATTACAAAATCACGTGGCATTTCACGTTCCAACTGCATAACTTTCTATCCATCTAACCGAATCGAAGGTGGACGGCCAAATTCATACTCTTTTTCTCACGAGACTCGTTTCTTCTTTCTTTGGTATATCTCGCTATTTAGATAGCTAATATCTAATAAATCTTGTATCGACTATCCTATATATACAAGAACGTTCGAAGAAAAACCGCGTTGTAATAAAATAGGAAATTAATTATCGTTCACGCGAGGACAAGTTGGTTTTTTCGAAAAGAAAAAAAAAAGAAAAAGATGAAAGATCAAGATGAAAAAAAGATATCGTGAAAGAGTTCACACTGGACAAATTCCTTTTTTCGAGTTGCCATATAATCAAGATAATATATTTTAAAAGAGAAGAAGACACAGAGTTGAAATAATATAAGAGAAAAAAATATAGGTGGGTAGAAAAAAAGAAAAGGAAACAAAAATAGAAAAAAAAAAAGAAAAATAGAAAAAGAGTTAACGTTAACTCGGAATTTCGACCTGTTCACCTTTTCGAATCCAATCGCGATTTTCATTTGCAACCGATCGTCGACGACGAAGAAGAAGATGACGAGAGTGTGGATGCAATTCTCTGTATGCATTGACGAGGGTGGGAGATAATGCCCAGGTGAATACGAAATGGCGAAAGTAAAGACGGTTTTTCGAAGACGTGCGCGCGAAAGAGCTCGACCTTGACTAGAGATCGCTTTTTCTCTCTTATAGTTGCGAGAGAGCTGTCGACTATGATGAGGACGACCACGCCGTTCCGTTCCGTTCCTTTCCTCCTTGTTTTTTTTTTAACCCTCTTTTATATTCTCTCCTTATCTTCTTTTTTTCTTTTTTTTTTTTTTCTCACCGCCTTCTATTTTATTCTTCTCTTTCTTGACTAATGGTAAGATAAAAAGGAATGTTACGTAACCGTACACGTATATAAGTTTAATGTAAAGAGAGAGGGAGAAAGAGAGAGAGAGAGAAACGTATAGGAACAAAAAAATAGAGAAATAGAGAACGAGCTATACACCACACTTTAACGTAAAACTATTACGTATATCCTATATATATATATATATATTATATTACGTTGCAAGAAAACAAACAAAATAAAAAGTGATACATAAAAAATACGTGACATGGATATGCATACAAATCTTACGTGAATAGGTTAAAATTGCTAAAAGATTCATGGATATCAAAAGTAAAGAGAAATTGAAAATTAATGAGATATAATTTGTCGCGGGGAAAATAAAAAAGAGAGAGATGGGGAGAGTGAGAAGAAAGATGCATGCATACGAACGAGAAGAGGGGACGACAACAGGGGACAACCGTGGGGCACGGTTGAACTTGAATTATATGCCCAAGAAGAAGAAGAAGAAGTCTCGTGACTTCGTTGCACGCTCGTAGATTAAAATTTCACTTCGACCTACGATATTAGAGACGTTTCCTTTTCTCGTTATCCGGTTTATTGCATCACACGTTCCTGTCCCGTTGGCATCGAAACGCGCGTAACGCGAACGCCTGCCTACTAGGAACAAAATTTCTTACGAGATCTATGGGTAAAAATCCATGAGGTACAGAATGAACGCTTAGAAATTCATTAGATGCAAAAATACTCTTGCGTTTATATAATAAGATTTCTAAGAGTTAGGAATAACTCGGCAAAGTAGTATCGGTCGACGTCGATGCTCTTTCGAAAGCTCGATTTATTGCGAAATTCTGACGCAGAGGGAACACGGTCCTTTACTTTTACCCCATCGCGATTTCTTTTATATACTAATATTATATTCCAGTAGATTCTTTCACGAAAGGATTTTTCCATTCGCCTCTGTTTGTTACGAACTTATGAAGAATCGTTAAAATACGAAGATAATTGTTATTTATCGTACAGTCACGGGGACTCGTTGCCACTTCTATGCGTTAAGATTATCTTTCTTATCTTCTATGATTATTCCATTATATTTTCTATGGGATTGACAGGGAAGCGGAAGTTTCTCTCCGAGAAAATTTATTCGTATTCCCATCGGAATGTAATAATATAATGAATTACAAAGTATAAGCAAGAAAAGAAAAGGAAAAGGAAAGGTAAGCTTTCTTACAAAATATCAAGCTCATTTCCGAGGTTTAAATATCGACGAGTTTCATTTTAAATATTGTTTTCAACAAGCATCGATTACCGGGGAAAAATATTGTCGATACGTGTTCAATATTTATAACGAATAATGCATTAATAAAAAATTATTCTATTCCAGTATTCTACTTTGAATATGATTATTTTCATTACAGTCATATTTTTATTTTCCGATTGTTTGTGCAATCAATAGGAAGAATCGAGATAAGTTTTCTAGACGGCATTTTCGTTTTAACTCACAATTAGATCGGATTACTCTTTCATTTACACGAAGTCTAAAACCCAAGAGAGACAAAATCGGAATGTCGGTGAGCCAGCTTTGCGAATCGCCTTATTATTATCCGCAATGGCTCGACGACGATTTGTCGTTTCGTTGACGCTGCCCATGGTAGTATTATCCAACTACGGTCAAATCGATCGAAGAAACGGCGAGTGAGTTTTTCGATCTACCTTCGAAAGAATTTTTTAACGGCTCGCAACGAAAAATCTAACGTATCGATCGTCCAGTATTAATTGGCAACGTGATTCGTATAACGGGTCATAAAATGTAAGAATTAACGCGCGTGACTTAATAGTCACGCGAACAAAATCGTAAATCGAAAGGTCGAATCGATCGGCGTGAAAATATTGAAAAAAGAGAAAAATAGGACGGGGGAAAAAGAAATAATGGGTATAGATCCTTCGGCGAAGAGATCGATCACCGTATTTGGCGCGAATGACGTTGCGAAACAAGTTAAATCTAGGATGACCAGATTTGAAAATTTAACGCACGATCTATTGTGTCTAAGAAAATGAAGTAAATCAGGTACGTCAAATATATTTTAGCCCACGTAACGTGTTCTTCTTGCCAAATCGATGATCGCACGCGTGTTGCCAGAAATTCGATAACACTTAGTAAGAATTTAAGGTAGAATTTTTCTTCTTACGATACATAACATCGTTATCTTTAATAGGGGGACAACTTAATAAATAAAAGTATAGACATTTAATTGATAAAGTCTTACCTCACAATGTAAGTCCTCCATTTTGTCGACGGGGATCGATCGATCTGTCGATCGATCACTGCCAACGTTCCTAAATTATCCGAATTAAGGTCGGTTGAATCGAAAATTCACGTCCCTCAGGATTCTTTCGAAGAATCTCGAGGCATCCTCCAAGCTTCGTAATAACGACGACGACGACGACAACGATGACGGCGATCTCGCTGGCACGTGATGTGAAACATTGAAACACACCGTTTTATACTGATGGGCGCACAGATATATCACTCGAATAATAACTCAGTTTACATGGAATCGTATTGGCACCCGCGTCGTCACTTAAACACACTCGATAAAAATCGGACGTTAATCTGTGAACACTTGTATCCTATGGTTCCTCCTTGGTTTGTACGAAGATGAAATGGGAGGAAATCGGCATCGGCATCGGCAACGATAGAAGAAGACGAGAACGATAGAAACGAGGATGGAGGTAGTTATCTTCGGTCAGCTGTTATTCTCGGTCCTCGGCTCTTCATGGTCGCGAGCACGTGCTTGGAAGCTCGTAACGTAGTAGCGTGCGGTCTCTTCCGGGTGTTCTCGAGAAGATCGATCCTAGGGGGACCACGTTCGAGGAAACGTCGACGAAAATGTCTTCGTCGAGGAGAGAAGCTTTTTCCTTTTTTTTCTTTTCCCCCTTTTTTCTTTTTCCTTGTTTGTTTGAACGGGGACTAGCACGGCGCGGACTCGAGCGTCCAGGGTCAACCGGCTGCCGCTCCGGTGCTACGCTGCTGCCGGCACTTTTACCCGTTGTGTACTCTCAAGGACTCGGAGGTGACTCCTATTCCTTTCTCTTATCCTTTCGCGCGCGCGCCTTTTTTATCCCGCTAACCTTTTTAAGTGCACTTTTAATTCCGCGTCGCGGCCGCGTGTCTCCGCTCGCGCGCGCGCGCCAACCGATCGAACGAACCAACCAACGGCCTCTTATTGTCAAGTTATCACAGTCACGTATACGCGCGGACGCGCTCCGTCCTATTTCTCTCTTTCTTTTGATTATTTTGTCTCTGCCAGGGACTGTGTCGTCGTCTCTTCCGGAGAACTCGCTTCTCCGGATGTGCCGAGAGGTCTCTTCTACTACACCAACTTTCTTTTTCTCTCTCTCTGCTTCTTCTTCTATCTCTCTCTCTCTCTCTCTCTCTCTCTCTCTGTCTCTCTCTCTCTCTCTCTCTTCGCTTCTCCTTTCTCTTCTGGTTTTGTAATCCTTTTTACGAAACGCTTCTGCAGGCCGACTACTCGTGCGCCGCCCGTACACGAGACGGCGAGTAAAAGCAATGCCTGAGCACTGTTTGTAGGAGGTGGAGAAAAAGGAGGAGGAAGAAGAAGACGAGCCACCAGAAGAACTCTCCTCCGGGGGACGTTATTCTCCCCGGACTAAGAGACGAAGATGACAACGATGACGATGACGATGACGAGGAGGTGGAGGAGGAGGAGGTGGAGGGGGAGAGGGTTACCGAAGAAATATCGTTGACCTTGAACGTTCACATTTCGAAAGGCTCGCGGCATCGAGCCGGCGAAGCGGTCCTAGCATTTCCATTGCTTTTCCTTTCCTTCTTCGTCCTCTCTTTCTCTCTCTCGATCTCGTCGTTCCGTTTCGCGAGCGAGCTCGCAACGTCGTTAATAACCGGATCGCCAGCCGCGTTTCACGACTCAACGAGCCAGAAGCATCGTTACGCAACGTTACCGAGGAGAACGACAACGACAACGACAACGACACGGCTAGGCTACGTCCACCACAACGCGATGACAATGATGATTCCTTTTCTACTCTTTCTCTTCTATTTGTATTATTCTTCCAAAAGAGCTTCCTTGATATCTATAAACAGGTATCCTCAATAAACAATGTTGAGAGGTGAGGGGCGCGCACCCGCGCTAACCCTCTACCTCCTACCTCTTCGAAAGTGCGAATATGAAATAAAGAGGGAGAGGGAGAGAGAAAGAGAGAGAGAGAGAGAAGGCGAGGATGTTTTCGATGATGAAAAATACGTTTGGCGGGGGTGGGGGTAGGGGGAAAATATGGGAGAAAGAGAGAGAGAGAGATCCACGAGATCGGATTTTAGCGCTCGACGGTGCGCTCCGCACGCGCGCCAGCCGAACTCGGCGGTTTCAACTTTTACTTTCAGGTCTTACACAACGCGCGGCCGCTCGTTGCGCTCTACGTAAGCGGCACCCGAGCGTGCACAGAACAACCGTGCACAGAACGATCGTGCACAGAACGACCGTGTTCTCTCGATTCTCGAACTTTGACGGAGCTCTTCTTTCTTCCACCTTTTTCAAACTATAACTGAACTACATATATATAATATATTATCCCTCTTTAATTCCGTTCTGTCTGCCTCTTTCTTTCTTTATTTATTCGACTTTCTCTTTCTCTTTTGTTTTCTACCCGTTGTCGATCAATTCAATTTGTCGTTTGTACACAATCTATTTCGTCCCGTTTATTTTTCACTTTCTCTCTCTCTATTTTGCCTTCCTTTTACGCAACCTTTTTTCTAAGAATCTTCTTTCAATTCTTTGAAAACGTTTACTCTGCTCCAGATTTTTGTTTTCATTGATATTGTTTTCTAATCCGTATAATGGGGTATTTCTTTGACTAAAATTCCCTTTCTCTTCTTACTCGTGATCGTTTCCAAATCAAACCCCTTCCTTTATCTTGTCCTTTGTCAAATCGATCGTAAATGACCTTTATGCGATTTCCTTTTTGTTCCCTTCCCCCTTTCGTCCTTGTCGCCCTAATAACTTTGTTCCCTATACCTCGAAGATCCTTTTACTCTTTCATTCCTTTTAACGTGTCACTTGCTTTCGGTATTTATTCGATCGATCTTCTTTTTTCTAATCCTTGAATATCCTTTTCTTATTTTCTTTTCGTTTCATGGACTAGTTTTTCTTGTCACGAATTTTGCTCTCAATTTATCATACCTCTTGTGTTTCTTTTATGTAAATATAACAAACGGACGAATATATTACGAAATATTCGAAAAGAAAAGGGAATTATTTTTCGAAATGTATCAGCAAAGTTGTACGTATGTTTAAAAGATTTGTTTGACACGTGGTATACGTCCACCACGCGCGCCCATCCAATTCCGAAAGGAGTTTCGCGCGCTCACATCAGTAGAGATCCCTGGACGATAGACGACGCAAGATCTTTTCGCGGTCGGTTTACAAATCCACGTGCTCTCTTGGTGCCGAGGATTACCAAATGGTGAATAACTAACTGACCGATGACAACGATGAAAACGAACAGAAATAAATATTCCTTTTTCTTTTTTTTTTTTGTCGAGGGAGCAAGCGCTCGTTCCCCGTTTCAACAGACAAGACAAATAAAAATAACAAGAATAGTAAACAAGTAGCAGCACACAGTTAACGCGAATAGACGACGGCACACACTTTTCTCTACTAATACAACACTATCTCGGAGTCACCTGTCGCAAGTTAAGACGGGAGGAAGAGAATGGCACAAGCACGCGCGAAAATATAATCATAGGACGCGCGTACTGTTGCTGCTGCTGCTGACGACGACGACGACGACGACGACGACGACGAAGTTTTCACGCGCGTGATCCCTCTCTCTCTCTTTCTTTCTCTCACTCTTTTTCCTTTCGTATGACACACGCACTTACGAACTTACTTCACTCTTTCTTTTTCTTTAGGAGGACTTGTTTAGGGAGAGAGGATCTCTTCCGGTCTCCGCGGTGTGTCTCACTGCTACTCGCTCGGTCGTAACTTTTGCGCAAAGCCGAGACCCTCTCTCGTGCTCTCTACATCTCTCTCTCTAACTCTCTTTCTCTTTCTCTCTCCCTCTACCAACAGAGTACGGCTCCTCTCTCTTTCTTGCTCTCCCTCCCTCTTTCTCTATCCGCTCGGCTCCTAGGTAAGCGTTGAGAAAGAAAGAGAGAGAGAGAGAAAGAGAGAGAGAGGTAGAAAGAGAGAGAGAGAGAGAGAGAGAGAGAGGGAGAGAGGGAAAGAGAGAAAGAGAGAGCGGGTAGAGCGCTCGACAGGAGGTGGTGCTTGCTCTGCCACTGCTTCTAGCACTGTTCTTGCTGGTGGTGGTAGCCGTGGTGGTGGTAGTGCAGTGGTAGTGGAGGTGCCGCTGCTGCTGCTGCTATCGCCGTTGTAGAATTGGTGATGGTGATGGTGGTGGTGGTAGTGGCACACGACGCGACGCGCTTATCCGACAAGAATGAACTATCCGCGTGTGCGTCTACGTTCAGTCCTACGTTTACTATGTGTCCTCTTATATATGTATAATAAATGCTTCTAATGTATATGAGCGCAAACGTACGCATATATTGTACGCTATACCTATTCGTTGGTGTAAGTCTACGATGTTACGTCTATCGGTGAGAGACGGTGGTGAAAGAGAAGAGAGGCCAGGTGGGCCCCGCTCGAGATCGAACCCAAAAAGGGTTGAGGGTCCGAAATGTGCGTCTCTCTCTCTCACTCTCTCTCTCTTTTTCTCTTTCTCCCTCTTTCTTTACCGACGGAATGAATACCCGACGGGCTAGAGAGGCCTCCTCGGTTGGTTCGTAAAGGGAATCGTAATATTCCGAGTAGTATACGAGTGAGTCCCATCTCTCTCGACGATCTCTTTCTCGCGACCGCGTACGCGCTCTCTCTCCCTCTCTCTCTGTACTCCTCTGTTTTTCTAACACTCCCACCATCCCAGTCCACCCTCTCTCCCTTTCCCCGGCGTGTGGTGCTCTCCCTATTACATTACAAATAGCTAGCTAGCTAGCTAGCTCTTCTCTTGCCTAGGCCCGCTGCGCGCTTTCCTCCTCTTTCGTACATACATACATACACATATATCCGCGGAACAAACGCAAAACTGTGTTCGCATTAACACCGTACCCGCGTTTTTCCTGCACATGCATTCGACTTGATAACGGACCGCGTGTTTCTTTCCGAAAGGACGCGCCGAAAATCCCGCGTTTACGTTCTCCCCTTTCATTGGACGTACTTGCTCGAATAAAGCTTTTCTTTGTCTCTCGGCAATAACGTAATACGCTCGACCTATGGTTAGACGCGGTCATCTCTTACGAAACGTAAGACAACGTTAGAAAAATCTATTCGGGAATACTTCTTAGATCTTCTTCTTCTTTTATCTCAATCTCATAATCGGAAGAGACAGGGTTTCATACATTTAAATACAAACATAAATAGATACTTACATATATATATGGGACAGCTTAAAATCCTTCCTCAATAATTCCTACTAGAAAGGATAGAAGAAACTACATAGTATTCTAGCAGTCAAGAATTATTTTGCTATCTTTCTTTCTTTCCCTTTCTCCTTCCACTTCCACTTCCGTTTCCCGCCAATCCTCTTTCTTCTATTCCCTCTTCTCGTCTATGGTCTCTTTCCGACCTCCTCCAAACACCTCAATTCAAAAATTTCGACCTCTCTTTTTCTTATGTCTTATCTTTATTTTTATTTATTTACACTTCCGTTCCCCTTTTTCTTTCATCTCTTTATCGTTTCTTTTTTCCTTCTTTTTTATCTCTTCGAATTTTACTTTTCCGCGAGTCTAAGATTTTCAAAATATAATAAATTCTCATTTTCCCCTATCCTCTCCCTCACCCTCTCCACTCCCTCTCCCTCTCCACACCCCGCCCCTTCTCCCACCTTTCTATCGCTCTATCTCTCTTTCTCCATCTTGATTTCTTTTTCCACGACCATCCCCGACTCCCTTCGTCTTCTTTTTCTCTCGTCCACCATTCCTCTACGACTTCCTCTCTTCTGCGTTCCCTTATTCTCCTCGTGCTCTCTGTCCCTCTCGTCGATTCTTTTCCTTTCTTCTCGTTTTCCGTCTGTTAGAACTCCCGTAGCTGATCCTCCCATCGTCGTCTTTCTCCCGCGCACGTTATATCGCGAGGTTCTTCGTTCGCTCGGAAACCGCAAGTCGAAATGTTTCGTTCCTTCCTTTTTTCCTATTTTTTATCTCTCTCTCTCTCTCTCTCTCTCTCTCTCTCTCTCGCTTCTTTTTCTTTTGCTACTCTCGACTATAAGTTACACCGTTCGTTCTCACATCCTTTTCTCCTTCTCCTCCTAAGAAGGAGGAGCACGTTCTGTCTCTCTCTCTCTCTCTCTGTTGCGCATGCTTTCTTTTAAAAACATGAGATCGCAACGCGGCGTAACTCGATCGCGTTTAGTATTATATATGTATATGCGCAGAAACGAGTCAAAAGAGATCATTTTCATCAAAGCGAACAAAATTCTCTGTAAACGTTTAATTACCCGTTTTTTTTTATTTTTTGTTTCGTTTATTTAATAAATTTGAATGAATATTAATATATAGTGATAACGGTTATCTAATAGTTTACGATGATAATAGGTATTTAACGATTTTAATTAAAACTCGTTGTCACGGTTTGTATGAATATTAAATTCGGATTATTAATATAAACAATAGCTGGCTGCTATACAATTATAATTTTGTAATCGCATTGTTTAACGATTTATGCAATGCAAATAGACGTACAAGAAAAAAGTAAAACTCACTTTTTGAATATTAACGCGAGCTCGCAAATAATGAGATTTCTTTATTTTATTTCACGAAACGTCGTAATTCCATTTTTTCTTCCACCCCCGCGCGAATGAACGAATGATCAACAACGATTGAGAAGGACGAAAAGGATCAATGACCCCGTTTGACGATCACCGACAATGCGTTCGATTCCGTTCACCACGGTTCCGAGCTATGGCTATTCGCATATATCCGCGAATTATGCCAACGGCGTGGCGCGGTGACTATACTTAGGAACGGTAGACGAATTTCATTCGCGAAAAGCAGCCAGTCGAAAGGAGGTCGGGGGAAACAGCTGATAGGATAAATATTCAACTTTCCTAACTACGCTGACTAAAGTAATTATCAGACGGGAGAATCATTCGATGTGAAATTGGTTATAAAAAATAATACAATCTAAAGAGAAAAAAAGAAACTAGAAATAATCTCATACACAATATTATTTATTCATTATTAAATTATTATTCGTGTTCCCCTATATATTAATTTGTTACAAAAAATCGAATTGGCCGATTTAAAATATTTCTCACGAATAACGATTGATTGGTGGTTACATATCTAAATGTGTGCAAAGGATAACTTAGAGGTAAATTTCTAGACGCATTATTGATTAATCGTTTGGATGAAATCATAATTTTTCTTTTTACGTGCTAGATCAATCAATTATCTTTTTCAAATCGATCGTTTTGTTCGACGAATGATTGAAGGAAGGAATGCCATGAAAAATGTCTATTTTTCTATACTATTAATTTAATCATCGATCGATGAGAAATCGGTAACCTTTAACGAAGGAAGAACCTACCCAACTAGGGAGAAACGAATATTGTTCGTCTTACACTCCGCGTTCAAAAGAGCGTTCCGTGACGTTCGTTAATTGCGCGAAACGTTTCGATTTTTGATTTGAACAAATGGAAAAAAGAAATTTAATGATGTTTATATATATATAATATTATAATAAACGGAGCTCGTGCTTAGTTTTCCAAAAAATCGATAAACGTTTTCATATGAATAAAACGAACGCTACGTAAATAATCGGTTCGATTTTCTTGATTTATGTTAGCATAACTAAAGAAAAATATATACGAATAAACTTAAATATGCTTACATGTATCGTATACACTTGTACATACATATGTAGATATTTCTATATTATGTACGCACGATGAGAAACAAAAAGTCTAGTATATTGACAAGAAATTCAACGTTATGACTAATATGAAGTGCACGAGTTAAACTACAAGTAAAAAAAAAAAAAAAAATACAAAAAGAAAAAGAAGGAAGGAAAATATCGAGCTATCTATCGCGTTCGCGATACTGTTTATTTATTTATGGTGCGGTCTAAATTAGAAGCGCGTTGAGAAGGCCAAGCGACTTGCGTAATCGCTGCAGGGAGCAACATGCTGCTGTTTATCATTACTCGTGAAAGAGTTGAAAGAAGATAAATAGATAGATAGATAAATAGAAAGAGAGAGAGAGAGAGAGAGAGAGAGAGAGAAAGAGAGAGAGAGGACCATCACAAGGTCCTCTTCCGTTGCGTTGCATCGCAACACTGTACGTGCAATTAAAGTGTATTGTGTTTTTATTTTTACATTCGCCACACGAGCGGCCTCCTCTCTCGTTTATCGCATTATTCTTCGGTATTTTTCTTTCACTTATCACGAGACAGCTAAATATTCAATACCGAATATAAACTCATGACAGAGGTAAATTACACGTATACGCGTAGAGATTTTTAGATATAAATCAATTATAGAAATATAATAATATTTAAGGAGACGAGCTTTTGAAAGTGTTCATTATTTCGCTAAATATCGTTTTATCTTTCTCACATTGGAATGTATTTATAATTTTAAAATTATAACTATTTGTAAATTGTAGTAATAAATGTTTCGTATATAATATTGTTACTTATTACTCGGACAAGAAAATTTATTTACCCTTTGAAAATGTTCACCTCATCCTGTACTTACATGCATTGAGTTCGAAAATAGAAAGAAAAAAAGAAAAAAGAAGAAATAAAAGAGCAAGAGAAAGAAGGGGGATTTCGTTGTTCTCCGGAATCATGGAACCACCTTTGCATTTTTTTTTCTCTCCACCCTTCGCTCCTTTCTTTTCCCTTTCTCTCTTCTCTTCTCTTCTCCCTTTCCCTTTCCCTTCTATTCTTTCTCCAGCGAACGTTCAACGTCTCTTCGCGTCGTCGTTTTCGTCGTCGTCCTCGTCCTCGTCCTCGTCCTCGTCGTCGTCGTCGTCCCACGAGAACGTAAAAGTGAATGAGAGAGAGAGAGAGAGAAAAAGAAAGAGAGAAAGAAAGAAAGAAAGAAAGAAAGAAAAAGAAACGTTCGTCGGTGATCGTACTTGCACCTTTCTCACAAGGCAACGCGAGTAGCCTAGCTATCCCTTCCTTCCACCAAGAATCCCTTTCACTCGAATTTCTTGGAGGGCAGGAGAACGAAGCAAGAGAGATATAGAAAGAGAGAAAGAGAGAGAGAAAGACACCGAGATCCAGTTTGACCGTATAGGTTAGATCCTCGTTGGACTCTTCGCGTATATTTCGAGGTGGTTCGTTTTATTGCGAATCCGGTTTGCTCCCTGTGACGAGAGTGGAGAAAGAGCTGGAGTACAGCGAGAGGAACGAGCAGAAAGAAAGAAAGGAAGGAAGACGGAGAGGGAATAGGGAGGGGGAGGGGGAGTGGTT